TGTCGTCGAGATATTATCGCGCGGGAAACGCTCCTGACGACAAGATCCACATATGAAGTACCTGCACGTCTAAAAATTCAGGATTTATGCCAAAGGTTTGTTTTGTTTTCGTTGGGAGGCCTGTATGTTACTCTTGCAACATTCCTCTCTGTAACACAAAGCACGTAATATCCATGCAGGGCCTCAAAGTACTCACATTAATATCTTTGAATGCACAGCTTAGAACCTAGATCCAAACCTTTTGGAACCTATCTTGGGTTATCCGAAGGGCCTAATTTCAAAACATAGCTTACAATCTTTCACTTATAATTAGCTGAACAGAGCTTTTGTAATAGTCATCGAGCGAAATTGATACTGTAAGAACCTGGTTGAAAATATGGCTCTAAAAACAGCACCCGCAACTCAGGTCATCTTATTAGGACAGTGGTCACCTCGCAACTTCTGCATGATTAACAGTTCAGGTACGTTTGGTAAAAGAGCGTATGCTATCAATCATGATTTGGTATTTATTCTATTAATACTGGAAAATTATTTTGCAAATTTGGAACTACTAGTTGGTGATTCTTAGTACAAAGTACACAATGAGTTGTATGCATTCAGTCCACCACGGAGAATCAAACTTACTGCTGACCCATCGAGGACAGAATTATGAGACTGTGCTTGCTTCTTTTTCTAGAGGAAGTTTTCAAGCCTATTTTAAGTATCGCATAATTCTGCAAGAACCTTGAACATTAAATAGGTTATTGAAACATAATTTGATTTGTTAATTGAAAATATCACTTCTTTAGCATTCTTATCATTTTACTCACCGATTGGTTTATTCTTTCAAATTCATATTCAACATATATTTTGAAATTGCTATTGATCCGAATTTTTGCTGAATGAATGGTAAGATAATTGAAATTTTCAATCAGAACGCCACTTTATGGGCACTTGAGCTAAATATCTAGAACATATATCCGTATGATTCAGAAATAATCGTCCTTTATTTTGACCTACCAGAGAGAAAGGGTAGTCAATCAGCAGTATTTGCACCAAAAGTGCATAGTCTGTTCTTTAAACCGCTTAGCGACAATGAATATCAATTTTATAACATGATCCCAAGACCTCACGGGCCGCAGCCCGATACTCTAACCTCTAGGTCATGACTGGCCAGCAAAGTAAGAGAGAATTTGGTTCTATGCATCTACTATGTTTATACAAGGATTGAGTAACTAGTCTATAGAAAATAAATGTAAAATTTGGACAAAGTTTATTCCTAATACTTAGTTATAGTGTTCAAACAAATAATTATTTGGATATCTTGAAGAGTAGTAGTCACCTACAGCTCAAGTCAGGCCCAAGTCTGACAGACTACATAGGTCTTAATAAAATGGCCAGCCAGTGCATAGGTGAGATTTTCATCGAATTATAATGGTTGCCTTGGTGGGCATACTGAATGAAATTCATAGTTTTAAATATGATTCTTTTATATTTCTAAAAAAAATATATATTATTTTTTCAAAATTGGATTTATCACTTTTAATGTTGATTTGCAGTTAAATAGATATGTAAATAATTTTAACCATCAGATATATAAATAATTTTAACCATTAGATATATAAATAATTTTAGCCATTAGATATGTAAATAATTTTAGCCATTAGATATATAAATAATTTTAACCATTAGATATATAAATAATTTTAGCCATTAGATATGTAAATAATTTTAGCCATTAGATATAT